TCATGTTTGTTTGTTTGTGTGTGTTTTTTTGTTTGTGTGTTCATGTTTGTTTGTGTGTGTTTGTGTTTATTTGTGTGTTCATGTTTGTTTGTGTGTGTTTGTGTTTGTTTATGTGTTTGTGTTTGTTTGTGTGTTTGTGTGTTCATGTTTGTTCGTGTGTGTGTGTGTGTGTGTATGTCTGTGTGTATGTCTGTGTCTGTCTGTCTGTCTGTTTGTGTGTTTGTATAATTGTGTATGTCTTGTCGTTGTGTCTGTCTATATATGTGTGTCTTGTGTGTGTCTGTGTCCCCCAGAGGTGGTGTGATGCTGGTCCATGACATCCGCAAGAATGAGAGCCGTGTCATTGACTTCAGAGAGACGGTGCCCTCCGGCCTTCACGAGGACATGATGCAGCACGCCAGCCACAGGGTACAGCTTTATTCCCATCTGCAGAGTGTGCCATGTGATGTGTTACCAGTGTGCAGCTAATTAATGAGTGTGTGTGTTTGTGTGTGTGTGTGTGTGTGTGTGTGTGTGTGTGTGTGTGTGTGTTTTAGCCGGGTCTGACCGTGGCTGTTCCAGGACTGATCAGTGGACTCCATCAGGCCCATCAGCTCTACGGCAGGTACGGTCACTGACTGTTTGTCGAGTACGTACTACATGTGAATTTACTACACAACTGCCCTCCTACAACAAGATCCAGCAACACCACCCCACCCCCGGTCTTCACTGTGCGCGGACATAACCATCATCGCCATTTTAACAGTGGGCTCAATAGAAATTTGCTCTATTATGGAGCCAGGACCAGCAGAATTTCGATGAATTGCAGTTTCAGTTACTTCCGCATTTGCTTCTCGAGGGTGAGCGGGAGGTTGCCACTTGGTCCGTTCCCATCAACCCCACCACCTGCTGTAGAGGAAAACCTTTCCTGACTCGCTCCGTCAAAACACCCCAAAATCACTCAATAATATGTAGATCTGGTGGCTGTGCAGGCCATGTTCAACTTCGCTTTCATGTAGATCAAACCATTCTGTCACCAGTCTTGCTGTGTGTATTGGTGCATTATCATCCTGATACACTCCACCCGCCTTCATTGGGTGCACATTATCCTCCAGAAGGGTTCAGTAGTCCTTGGCAGTGGCCTAGTGACTAACTAACACAGGTATTGGGCCTAGGGAATGCCATGATATTGCAGCTCAAACCATCTCTGATCCACCCCCATGCTTCACTCTGGGCATCAACAGTCTGGCTGGTCATGCAACACTTCTTTGGGGCTTGTCCACACTGTAACTCTCCCAGTGAAAGTGGACTCATCACATAACAATACATGTTTCACACAATTTTGTTTATAACCCAAGGTTTTCGCTGCTGGCACCATTGAATCCCACGTTTGAGTGGCCAAAAGTTTGACTATAGAAGCCTGGCCATGAATATTAACCCTGTGGAGCTCCTGACCAACAGTTTTGGTGGAAACATGAGAGCACTTTTATTTCTGCAGAGAGTTGGGCAGCTGTCTTATGTTTTTTTTGGATAAAATCAGGATTAGCGCCCAGACATCCCTTTCAGACTGCTTCCTCTCACATCCGCAGTTCCTCCTGTTGGTTGTGGTTCTTCTTCTTGGTGGTTTGCATTACTCGGGATACCGCAGCTCTTGATAATCACAAAGTCTTGCTGTCTTGGTCACAGATGTGCCAACGAGAAGCGCACCAACAATTTATCCTCTTGAACTCTGATACGTCACCCATAATGTGTGCATTGCAATATGTTAATCAGAACTAGGCCATTACTCTGCTAATTAATTCTTCACACTCTGCTCTTACTGGTGGAGTGTGCAATCAGTGAAGATTGTCCACCCGCATGCTCAGATTTAGCAGTGAAACCTCCATCAGTAAATTGACCAGTGTTTCAGTTTCATTGTCCAACCCCTTTAGGTCAACCAGGTACTTCCCACCTACTTTTTTTTAATACTATGAATTCAGACATAGCGAGGCTGTGGCGCAGTAGGTAGTGCTGTTGTCTCACAGCAAGAAGCTCGCTGGTTCGAACCTCGGCTCAGTTGGCGTTTCTGTGAGGAGTTTGCATGTTCTCCCTGCCTTCGCTTGNGTTTCCTCCGGGTGCTCCGGTTTCCCCCCACATTCCAAGACATGCGGTACAGGTGAATTGGGTAGGCTAAATTGGCCGTAATATATAAGTGTGGGTGTGGATGTTTCCCAGAGATGGGTTGCGGCTGGAAGGGCATCCGCTGCGTAAAAACATGCTGGATAAGTTGGCGGTTCATTCCGCTGTGGCGACCCCGGATTAATAAAGGGACTAAGCCGACAAGAAAATGAATGAATGTTTTACGCAGCTGATGTCCTTCTAGCTGCAACCCATCACTGGAAAACACCCATACGCCCTCGCATTCACAATGGCGCATATGTTTGGACAGTGGGGGAAAATGGAGCATCCAGAGGGAACCCACGCGAACAAGGGGAGAACATGCAAACTCCACACAGAAATGCCAACTGACCCAGCCGAGGCTCGAACCAGAGACCTTCTTGCTGTGAGGTGATCGTGCTACCCACTGCGCCACGGTGACACCTATAAAAAGCTTAAAATTTAAGCACAAATCTAATTTAAGCCTCTTGTTTGGTAAACACGACTACAGTAAGGCTCTCATGTAAAACCGCCACCAAATAAAAGACAGAAAATATGACTTAAACTTAAAGATTTGCATATATTTCAATTCTATTACTGAAAATCATAAACAAACTTAATAAATATATAGTTACACATCTACACAGATTGAATAGACTCATAAATCTGTGGGTGTAGACTACTGATAGCATAATGAACAGCATTGGCCAGGTCACTACACGATGCTGGTGGAGGAAAACGTTTCCTGACTTGCTCCATCTCAAAGTGACTCAATAATGTTCGGCTCTGGTGACTGTGCAGGCCATGGCAGATGTACAACTTAACTTTCATGTTCCAGTTTCATGTTTCAGCATTAAAATAACAACATTTAAAAGGCTCTGATGTGTCAGACCAGTGTTACTGTTACTAAAGCTTAAGTAAAGTTTCTAAAGTAAGTAAAGTTCAGTAAAGTCAGTCAAGTAAGTTAAGTGAAGCACTCATTTTGAGGTCAG